GTTACACACCACCTCTCTTCCTCTACTGTACAGTGGAAAAACATTAGGTCGTCACTACAACAAGCATCCTGACAACTTCACAGACATATGTGTCAGGAGTAGGGCAGAGACAGAATGTGTGGTGAGGGGACTGAAAATGGGAAAAGGGCAAAAACTGACTTTACATTCTGTCCTTATTTTGAATGATGTTATCCTGCTCCCTAATGACAACACAAAATGCTCAAAGCCTCAGCTGTGTTCACAACCTGCCTTTGGATCCAATAGAAAGACAGTCTGACAGAGCAGGAAACTTGTCATGGGTGTCAACATTTACAACAGCTCAGTTTAGGCTTAAGTAATGTTTCCTTTACTATGCGCTAAACCCACCCAATTTTTAAGAACATCTAATTTGGCCATAACATTCCTTCCACATTGAAGCATGGCACACAATCTATCATCCCAGAAGCAAGTAGTATAATTATAGACATTTGTAAATTATGGAAGTGCAAAAAAATGAGTGTGTGTTTTCAGATGCTATTTTGTTCTTACAAGCAGGGGCTTTGGGAGTGTTTAAGTTAATTTTGCAGGCAAGCAGAGGTGCCATTAACACTGAAAGAGAGGTACACAGCTAGAACTACCTACCCACTGTGCTGAAAATGTACTTCATTGCTTACTCTGTGGGTTAATGTGTATGTGAAGAGCTTTTACCATGACCTCCCAATACTCCCAAATATACCATTAACTTATTTTATTGGAAATGGCTACTATAAATGAAAATCCCAAATTACCTTTTCCCAGTAAATCTGCAGACTTGGCTTGCAATTTTCAAACTTTGGCGCCTAAGTCTCAACAGTATTGAGATAACAACATTGGCACATTGGCACCTGAAGCAGACTTGGGAATATATCTGCCACACAAACTCAGATCAGAGCATCCAAGTTAGAGAACTGGGCATTGAAGAATTGATTCTTGCAGGACAGACCCCTCAGTACCAAATACATTGGTGGTAGCTGAAGGTATTCTGCACCTTGCAAGATCAGACCTCTAGTGCATAAGTGACATGATACAGCTCATGTCAACAATTTTCATGTGGTATCAGGAAGCAAACCAGCAAGCCAAAAACTACAGTAGAGAAGTCCCTAAATAAAAGAGCTACAAAAGGACGAGCAGCAAGGAGGAATGTTTAAAAAATTTCTAGTAAAAGATGTTACCGTGATCATACTCACTGATAAGACTGAGTGACTGAGCCACAAACATTATAAAATCTCTCATATAATAAGGAACGCAGGCCCCAGTTGCCATGCTGCAGAATTCTGCACCCCAATACACTGCTCTAGACAGTCAAAGCAGAGTTCTATATAGCTGATGAGTTTCTTCTTACACCAGTTTATAAAAAAACCTGAAGTTTGTTTCCATTCCCCTGACATATTTTACAGAAAACTAAGGTATTTTCTAAAAATAATTGTGCTATAATGAATCACAGTTTTTAAAAAATTAAGTATTGGAATATTTAAGACATATTATTTCAGCTAATATTGCAATATCTATATTATAATATGTACATTAAAATTTAAAAATCATGTGGTCAGTAACATTGTAATACTTAGTATTACCATGTTTATTTTAAATGTATAAATAAAATGGTGAATGTTCAATCCCCATTAGACAATATACTGTACTTTGTATTTGAACGGTAAATAATAAGATCAATCATTATCAATCATGTTTTGTCTTTTTAACAAAAGAAAGAATCCACATGGTCAGAATATTTTCTTTGCAAATCTGTCCTTGAAAAGTGATGGCTATCCTTCAGTGACATTTTAAAATGTATGACTTTAATTAGCATTGTATTGAGATAACAAATAATAAGCTGTGCATTTACCCCACACATCTGAATCCAAAGGCCAGGGTTTTCAAACAGATCAAGAAATACAGATGTTTAGTTAAGCCCTGACTTGTGCAGCTGTACCAAATGCCTGAACAACTGCATATTTCAGCTCACATATTAATATTTTCCTAATGTCCATTTTGTAATTAATCGTGATATTCAGGTGATACAGATGATATTATGGTATATTAAATACATCTCCCTGTTATAGGAAGGGAGCCTGAGACATAAGCTCATGTATCCAATGCCTGGTGTGAGGCCTAAAGCCTAAACAAAAGTAGAGGTCAAATTTTGCTGATACAGAGCAAAATGGCAAAAAGTCAGTGTATGCCTGCTTCCAAGCTCTCAGAACCTGGCAAGAACAGGGCTGGTATTGCAAAAACTCCCACAGTCCTAAGAAAGGTTAAACAGGATACACAAAATCACATTCCAGAAGGATGGTACCTCAATAGTCAATATGGTACAAACACCCTTCTTCCCCTCAAAAGATAATGAGAACATACTGACCTCTCAAAGACAAGAGCAGGATGGCAGTGTGATGAATATAGATGCTTTGATCAAATCACCATATACAAGGTAATGGGTGGTAACAAACAACATCGGCAGACAGTAACTGTGTCACAGGGGTAATATGTAACTTGTTTGTATAAGTACATAAAATGGAGTCTCGGAGGGAGTGTCTTTGGCTGACCTAGGGGACAGTGGAAAGTCCCACAACTAACTGAGTTAGCCCATTGAAACAGGCATAAATGCATTAGTGCACCTAAGATTAATGGATCTTGTGATCATTGGCTGGTTTGCTACAGGTCTGCCGGGCCAGCTGTCTGGGACAGCACACAGAGAGAAAACACATAGAGTCAAGACTACCAATTAATAGCATTAAATGTAACATGATCATAGGCACTAAGAGGAAATGCCCAATATCACATGGTCAGCAGTAGTCAAATGAACTTCTATGACCATGTCAGGAACATCCCACCTGCTGTACTGCTAGATACACTAGGTATGTCCCAACATTTCATTGAGCTCAATGAATGACACCACCATGACTGGTACAGTACTGGCCTGCAGAGAAAAAGTTAATATATGACCTAAAGAGTAAAGGTTTCAGCTTGATTAGCGCATGGGCAAAGAGAAGGAAGAAAAATTCAAGACATCTAAAGGGAACAAAACTTCACATAATGTAAGTAAAAATAAGTCCCAGCACTGCACAAGTCATTAAAAATGTTGAGATCCCACCTTTTGATGAGTTTGATGGCTCTGAAGGCCTCATCCATGTCCCCAATGGTTAGATAGAAGCTGAAGTTCAGCATGGCTTCACGGGTAGCTTTGTCACACTCTTCCAGACCAATGAAATCTCTCATGGGCCTTTTAGCAACCAGCTGTGAGAGTTGGACTGAGCCAGATTCCTTCTCAGTTTCTTTCTCAGCTTCCCCTGGCTGCAAGGAAACTTCCATCATTCAAATGCCACACAGGTGTCAACACACTCCCTTGATCTACAAATACAGATTTCTGCAAGATTTTAACCATATGACAGCTTGAAGTCAATAACAAAACTCCCTTCAACTTAAATGAGAGTGAGGTCAAACTCTTATAGCTGTCAAATTAATTAATATTATACAACTTTTCAAAGTGCCTGTGAATATAGGAAATAGTGTCTCTAAAAATTACTAAAGCACATAAATCATGAGGCGCAACATTTGTATTTCATCAGTTACAGACAAGAGGCTTGTACACTATTAGAGCAAGACCAAAAATAACCATTACAATCAAGATTTACCAATAGTTTCTATAACAACTCCCACATTTCTGAATCTTTCAGGATGAAACTTTCTATGATTGGTCTCTGTCCAATGATGAATTTTTTTTTTACATTAACTATCCAGATCCTCTTATTTTTTAATCATCTTCATCTGAGGAATCCCACTATTAGTAATCAGATTCAAAACCATATTCCACAAAAATGGACCTGAATCTCAGTAAAATTAAAATTACAACTCTACTCAGAGCTATCAGCGAGCAATGTAACTATTCTTCTGAACAAAAAAAGAGGAGTCCCTTCGTTGTGTCACCAGCATCAAAGAGTACCATTAGACTTTAAGAAGGAACTTTACCCTGGTCAAATGCAATGAAACAATTTGGTCTGAGCCAATGTGGATGCTGACCTGCCTCATTCTAACTAATGTGGGCAGTCCCTTCAAGCCATTTTCACTGTCAAGAGAAGAGTAGGGAAAAGTCATATGTTAACTTCTCAGGGAGCTAATCTATAGACTATGCCAGAGCACAGGTAAAGCCACATACAAATGAATAAAACACCTGATGTATCAGACAGACTAAGTAATACAAACCAATAGTACAAACGAGTGTTAGATACAATATGGGGAATTCCTGGATCAGAAGCAAAGACATTACAATGCAGAAGAGACATATGGGCTGAAACTCAGACTAAATAAGGGCATGTCTACACTACAAACTTGAGTCAACCTATGTTAGGTCAACTCAGAGTCACTGTAGTAATTACTGTGGTGGTTTATGACCATTCTACCATGGGCAGTGGGTGAAAGCCCAGCTGGGGAAGGCAGCCGAAGACCCGCCCCTTCCGCCCAATGCCACACTCCTACCCCCAAATCCATACCCTTTCACAACCTTTCTTCCTCCCAACAGTGGAGGTCAGGGGCTGCCATGTGACATGGCCCCAGCCTTTCCTGGCTCCTGGGGAGCTGTGTGGTATGACTGCAGCCTTCCCCAGCCACCAGGGAGCCATGCGGTGCAGTCCCAGCTCCACCCAGACGGCTGGCCCGTGTAGGCAGTTTGGGGAAGACAATGCCTTCCTTTGCCTACATTACCTGCCGCCCATGCACACTACTCTCCTTCTGTTGGCGGGGTGAGTCCTCACCAAGAGCACTTCTACGGACTTAAGAGGGGAAGGGTGGGTGCCCAGGCTCTCAGCTCTGCATGCAGCTCCCTGCTGAGAGCCCGACTGCCCCCTCCCATGGGTTCTTGGCAGGGATCAGTAGCTTGGAGTAGCTGGGATCCCTGCAGGGAATTGGACTCCAGAGTCT